TCGATTTGTTCGCATGGGTGAACATGATCACGTTAATGATTAAGATCAATCCTAGATCTGTGTAACGCTGGGGGGTTGAAGGTCCTACTGCATTCAGGCAGCTGACTGCAAGGAGCTGGCGAGGCTTCTGGAAATGAAACCACCTGGATGGGGGGAGGCAAAATGTGAAACCCTAGTGAGCAGGGAGTAGGAAATTTACACAGTAGCTCAAATCCTGGATGATCCCAATGCTCCAGGACAAAAATCACAGAATCCTAGAGCTATGGAAGGGTTCCCACACATCCTCCAATATGGGCCCCATCCCCACATGCAGACTCCCTCATTACATTCACCACAGAACCAGCCAGCACTAACTTAAATGCTTCCCACAGCAAAGAGCTGACTGCTTTTCAAAGCAGCCTATTCCATTGATGGACAGCTTTTATTTTTAGCAAGTTTTTCTCTAAATTAAGTCAAATATTGATACCTTATTAATGTGTGGCTCTAGTTCTAATTCCGGGCCAAGAAGCCCCTCTATCAATGTTGAATGAATGAATAATGAATAAACGAACAAACGATTCTTAAAGATCAATGATGATATGACAAAAGCAACTGCTTCAAAATTTAAGTTTTTAAGACCCACGATGGCTCAAAAAAAATAAACAAGGATTTGGTTCCATTCACTTAATATTTCTTTTTATTTTTTTTTTTGAGGAAGATCAGTCCCGAGCTAACATCTGCCACCAATCCTCTTTTGGCTGAGGAAGACTGGCCCTGAGCTAACATCCGTGCCCATCTTCCTCTACTTTATATGTGGGATGCCTGCCACAGCATGGCTTTCTGAGTGGTGCCATGTTCGCACCCGGGATCCGAACCAGCGAACCCTGGGCTGCCAAAGTGGAACGTGCGAACTTAATCGCTGTGCCACCGGGCCAGCCCCACTTAATATTTCTTAAGCAGAGATGAATTATGCAGAACTAAGAAATGAAGCATGGCTTGATGGAAACAGCTCTAAGACGACCCAGATTCTAATACTCACTCTGTTCCTATGCCTCACTTTTCACACCTGTAAAACAAGCAGGCCAGATTCCACAATCTCTACCGCCACTCACAACTGTCAGTACTCTACAATAGATAATTTATCCTCAGAGATTGCTATCGCTCAACTCAAGGAGTTTACTGTCTTAACTGCATTTCTCTGAGAGTTCAAACCCATCTGCAAATAAAGGGTGAAAGTCCTACCGTGACAGGCAGATGTTGGGGTTAAACAGGTAGAATTTTATCCACATATTTTAAATGGATGAACACAGGCAGCGTGGCTGGGAAATTAACCTGAAGTTGACATGGGAAAGATAATCTAGGGTTGTTTATTTCAATTATTTGATTTGAGACCAGGTCTCCTGCACCTACGACTACCATTATATTGACTAAAGATAGAGCACTCAGCAGCTGCACTTGGTAAATGCACTTGTCGATGCCTCACCTCCCAGAACTCAAGGGGTTTAACCAATTGATCTTTTGAAGCTCCATCCAGCAATAAGTTCTGTGATTCTGTTTATAACACTCGATGACCAGCAACCCTAGTGATTAGAGGAAGCCCCGCTATCTTTACCATCCATCTCTGAGCCATGACAGGAGCCAGGCGGCCAAAAGGAAGGAGGGCCGGGTAAAATAGAAATAATATTTCATTCATCGGTCAGCCACAGTTCTCCTTTCCTACTTCCACTTGCTGTGAAAATTCGGAAGCTGATTGCAAAGTCTGTGCTCAAGGAGCAGCTGGTCAATTCTGATTTCAAAAGAGAAAATGGATTCAGGATGGTCAAAGCATCTGCGGCAAGGATTTAAAAAATTGTATGATTGTTGCACAAAAGACATTCGCAAGGAATTTTTACCACACAGTCATTAAAGTTAAGAACAAGCAAAAGAAGACTACCAAAGACTAAAAGTCTTGCATTACTAAACGGTGGTGGCTGAAAAATGGCTGGCCACAGATGGCCCCAGCTGTGCCAAAGGGGACCGTCCTCACTCCGAGAGTGGCTGCCAAGGGCATCTCTGGAAGCGGAGCTCTCTGCTTGCTTTGTGTGGGAACCCAGCATATAAACTGAATTATCATCACTATCAAAACAAAGGTTCTAATTCTGATCTAAGGACTCTAATCTAAAATTTTTATACTCAGAAACTTTGTTCTGTGCCGGTCTTTAGTTCTCGTTATTTAAAGATCACCATTGTACCTCCCCTTTGCTCTGAAGGTCTTTCATCAAACTTTGACCAAAACCACAATAAAATTCAAACATCAACAGTTTAATCTCCAATCAAAAGTTTGTTTTATTTTTAAATGGAAAAGTTTTAATGAACATAATAAATTCTGGCTCCTTTTTACTAAAGTTAATGTCTTAATGTTCAAGCAATGAGCAAGCACTATTTTTGTCATTTAACACAATAATAGTTTGCATCCCATTTTTGAAATAGATGTAAATCGACGAACATAGCACAGAAATGGATTACAAGAACAGTGACACTAAGCTATGTGTCTTTATTGACATTCCACCCTCCTTCCTTTTGGCCATTTGCTTTCTGTCATGGCTCAGGATTACTGTCGTTTTTTATGTTCTTTTTTCTTGTTTGTAGTTTTCTGTGCATCTTGTAATGAGCATGCATTGCTTTTGGAAAAAGAAAAAAGAATAAGAGAAATTTCTTTTACGAAACAAATGACTTAAGAATTATTTCTGCAGCCCGTAGACCTGGCATTCACTCTCCTTCAGGTGGTCAGACTTGCTCTGAAGGTCCTCTTCCCTCTGTGGGCATCTCAGTGAGCACTGAGGTCCCTGCAGAAATGTCCTGGGTCCCAGCCTTGCAAGCTAACCATATCACCAAAAGCCTCAAACCCAGTTACACCTCTGTGCCATCCTAAGGTTTCTGGCAAATTTAAGTGTTAAAATAAAACACTAATTCAGATTCCATTTAGTCTGAGGTTTGTAATGAGTTCTTGCAATACATTCTTTCAAGATTTTAATACGTTTTTTTCTGCAAATTTTCATTGTTTATTTTTGCAAGAAAATAATTTAAAATGGGGTTTTAAAATAGGGGTGAAAGAAATTAAGATTATTTCAAAATCTCTTTTGCCAGGTCTAACAATTCACTCATATTTTAGAGGCCACAAATACGCAGGACACATTATTAACTACAAGCTAACATTGGTCCACTCTGAACCACGACTGGTCTCCTTAACTCCAGTTTGGTTAGTGGTTGAGAACACACTTGTGAGAGGCGCCCACACCAGGATGTGAATCCTGGCTCTACCGTTAACAGCTATGTGACCTTGAGACAGAAGCAGTGTAACCCTGAAGGTCAGCTTTGTACAGGAGAGATGAGGATTGTAAATACCTACCTTGCAAAGGTTTGGGGCGGGTTTCATCAAAGGAATTCCTAATAGAGGGCCTGGCACATTGTAGGCTCTAAATCAACTGCGATGTTATTCTGCCCTCCTGGCAGCAGCGATGTCTCCTGTTAGCCAGCGACTCATCCTCTTCAAGGTGCTTTCAGACCTTTTGCCTCATTTGATCCTCCGGCAGCTCTACCAGTCCAAAAAACCATAATTCCTGTCCCTATTTTTCTTTTCTCTTAGTTTTTTGGAAACAGATGAGGAAACTGAGGCTCAAGGTCAAAGAGCTCAGAAAGCAGATCCAGGCCTCTTTTTGCTCAGTGACACAGTTCTCAGCTGAACCCCGAAAGACTTTATGCGCTGTGCCCGAATGTAATAACATTAAATTTCTTCTCGAATACTCTGCTATTCATACTTGAATCAAATCAAACTGGCATTTCCACATCTCTCCAAATCATTTAGGTTATGCTTAGTAAAAATAGCAACTAAGTTTATTTAGAGCTTACACAGGCCCTGGGCTAGGTGCTTCAGGGCCACTGACGCATTTAAACGCAGTAACAACCCAATGAGGTGGGCACTGTTGTTGTCCCCATTTAACAAATGGGGAAACTGAGGCATAGCTAAGTCCAAAACTGAGATGCAGGCAGACTCTCTCCAAACCCCAACTCTTAGTTCTCTGGTGTCACCCAAATTACAGCTGTGCAATTGACCGTGCATTTTGCAAAGTGCTTTCCTGCACAATACATGGATGAGACAAGGAGGCCAGGTTATTCGTGTTCTCTTTTACATCTGAGGAAACCAAGGCTCCCAGATGTCAAGGGTTGTGTCTAAAATTCCCTGGCCCTCTGGTGGCCCAGCGACGACGACGCAGTGGCAGCACTCCCCGACCCCAAATCGCACCCTCTTGGGAAAGTCTCCAACTCCTTCGCATGCATTTTAAGAGTGAGATGGCAGGACACGTCCTGTCATTCTTCAAAAGCAACTGTCAACTGAATGGCCTCCGTGTCAACACTGAGAGTTGACAGCGTGACCCATGTTGCGGGAAGTGGAAACGGAGCGGTCTCTTCTGAGCCGGGTCTTGGGCGTTACTGCGGCCAAGTCGGAAGTGGGAGGTGAAATTGTTTGCAGAGCAGCCCCTTGGGGAGGTGCCAGCACCACATTCCGGGACAACTCGCCCCAAGCTCCTCCCTCCAGGTCCCTGATGGGGTGGAACCCGACTCTCAGGGGAGTCTCGGGACCAGGGCAAGCGGGGCGTCTCTCCCACAGGTGCGAGGGTGAGGACGCGCGGCGCCGGTGCCGGGACTGACCCAAACGCCAGGCAGGCCCTCACCACCTTCCTGGGCCACCAAGACCCGCCGCGGGGGGCGGGTGCGACCAGCGCTCTTTCGAAAACTGCCGCTCGCCGGGATCTCAGCTCAGTCTGAGGGGAGAGATCTGGCCCGTCTGGGCGCTGGCTGGCAGCCTCAGACCCGACTCCTCTCCCAACTCCGCACGCCACGCGCCCTGCCTCAGTTTCCCTCACCTCGAAAAGGGTGCACGGAACCCAAGTTGTTCACAGAGGCACACCCAGACCCGCACGACTGCAAGGGGGCAGAGCGCGCCCTCCCCGGCCTGATGCCCGCGGTGACAGCGCCCCTACCTGCACAGTGGCCCCCGCCGCCACCGGCTGGGGTGCCCTGGGGTTCCCCGCCCGACATGCGCCCAGCCGGCTCCTCCCGCTCGGCTTCCGCCGCCTCGAGCTCGTCGGCGATGGGCAGGTTCCGTGCGCCCGCGGCCGGCGGAGGGGGAAGCGAGGCGCCGAGCTGGACGGGAAGTGGGGAGGGGGCGGGCGAGGAGGGGGAGGCTCCTTCCTTCTCCCCGGCGAGGCAGGCGGTTTCCTTTCCAGCCTCGGCCCCTTGCACACGCACACACACACACACTCATGCGCGCGCGCGCACGCGGCGGGGGCGGGCGGCCCGGCGGGCCCACGACCTGTCTCCGGACCTCTGCAAGTTTGCTGTTCCCTCTCGCTCATTTCTCGACGAAAACGAGAGGGGAAGTACGCTGGGGGGAACCGGTGCACAGGGAAGGAGAGAGAAACTGCGAGGCCTTCGGAGTGGGTCTACCAGGGCGCCTCCCAGACGCGTGATCCGGGAAGTGACCAAAGGGGTGATGAGGAGATGGAGGGGATGAGAGGGTGGGGAGAAAGTAGGGAGACGACAGACGACGCCAGGAAAGAGACGGGTGGGAGCAGCTGTTCAAAAATGAAATGTGAATCCAACTTTTTGAATCTTTGGCCGCATGGGGCTGGTCCCAGAGCCTCCCCCCAACGTTGGGCAGCTGGCCCAGAGCGCAGGCTCTGACCCATGCAGAGCTCCTAGGCCGCTGACCCACGGCCTTCACCCCTTCTCTTTGGCTCATGCAAGGAGGCTACTGGAGCACCCCTTATGTAGCACCTGCCAGAAACGGTTCTTGCCCTTAAGGAGTTCAGCTCCGGTAGGGAAGATAATCATGTGAATAGAAAACTAAATACCATGCAGTAGAATATGCCAAGAGCCAGTGGCTTGGGACAGAAAGGGTTGCAGAAGTTGAGGGTTGGAGGGAGTATTGTGAAGAAGAGTCAGGAAGACCTTCTGGAGGAGCGGGAAGGGTCTCGTTAGAACTAGAGGAGGGCCAAGCTCCTTCAAGAGATAAGAACCTTGTGAGTGAAAATGCACAGATATGCTTCAATGTCGGTGTTTTGTGGGACAGAATGAATATGAGCATGGATATTAAGATGTGTGGAAAATGGAAGGACATAAAACTGGATCCAGCTGAATTTAATGATATAGACCACTAAGATCGGGATTCAAAGCTGTAGTTTGAGAGATTAAAAAAGGATCTAACAATTTGGTTGTTGACTGAAGCAGGGACCAAGAGGTGACCTACACTAAATGAAGTGGAAATGCCAGAACTGCCTTGGTATATTGCAAAGAAGGTTCCCAAAGCTTAGGGGGGATTGGAATAGCACAGTGGATTTATCATGTAAGACCTGCTCACCCACTCGGGGAGGGTCCAGAGGACACACTTTGACCGCGACTCGGAAATAACCTTGTGACCCGGCATCCTTGGTCAGTCTTCTCTCTGTGTCAGACATTACAGTGGGAACTGCAGCCGCTGAACTGGGATCCTTAAATGCAATGGGGATAATGGATTACAGTTGGCAGGGGTCAAATGGTGGCAATGAATCTCCAAAGGCAAGGTAGGCATGGTTTCTGTAATGGACGACCGTCAACACACAATCAGAATAGTCCGACTCTCACAGATCTCTGGTGTTGGCAAGTTGATCATAGTGAAATAGATAGGAAGCCTCCTAAATTCTTACTTGATCCGTATGAGCAGACAAGTTCTAGCTCAAGTGAACAAAAGCCTAACTTGAATTACCAAAACAGAGACTCAGCCCTTCCATCAATTCCCAGGCTTAAGGCAGTTTACAGACCCAGAACTTCTCCAATGAAGGAGGAAAGACCCAGCAACACTGCCCAGAATGTTTACTGTTATTCTTTCTTCTAGGCCCCCCCCCACCACCACCACCACCAAAGGGACATATGACCTCTCACCAGGGTGACTGCATTGGGAAAAGGAAATAACCAGATTTTTCAGGAATTACTGGACACTGGCTCTGAACTGCCACTGATTCCAGGAGACCTAGAACATCATTGTGGTCTACCAGTCAGAGTAGGACTTATGGAGGTCAAGCGATCAACAGAGTTTTAGCTCAGGTCCCTCTCACAGTGGGTCCCTGCACCCATCCTATGGTTATTTCTCCAGGTCCGGAATGCATATTTGGAATAGATATACTCAGCAAATGGCAGAATCTCCACATTGGTTTTCTGACCCACAGAGTGAGGGCTATTGTGGTAGGAAAGGCCAAGTGGAAGCCACTATAACTGCCTCTACCTAGGAAAAGAGTTAACCAAAAGCAATTCTGTATGCCAAGAAGGATTGATGAGATTAATGCCACCATCAAGGACTTGAAAGACGCAGGGGTGGTGATACCCACCACCTCCTCATTCAACATGCCCATGTAGCCTTTGCAGAAAATAGATGGATTTTGGAGAATGACAGTGGATTATCATAAACTTATCCAGATGGTGATTCCAATTGTAGCTGCTATACCAGATGTAGTTTCATTGTTTGAGCCAAATAATACATCTCCTAGTACCTCATATGCAGCTGTTGATCTGTGAATGTTTTTTTCTTCATATCTGTTAGTAAAGATCACCAGAAGCAGAGTTCTTCCAGCTGGCATAAACGTTCAGCGTCCTGCCTCATGGGTATATCAACTCCAACCCTAGAGCATAATTTAGTCAAGCAGGGACCTTAGCACCTTTTCCTTCCACAAGACTTCACACTGGTCCATTACACTGATGACTTTATACTGGTTGGACCTAGTGACTATGAAGTAGTAACTACTCTAGGCTTATTGGTGAGACATTTGTGTGTCAAAGGGTGAAAGATAAATCTGACAAAAATTCAGAAGACTTCCATCTCAGTGTATTTTCTAGAGGTCCCGTGGTGTGGGATAGGTTGTCATAGTTGGCCCTTCCTACAACCAAAAAAAAAGAAACTCAACATCTAATAGTCCTCTTTGGGTTTCCGAGGTAACCTATTTCTCATTTGGGTTTGCTACTCAAGCCCATTTACCAAATGACCTGAAAAGCTGCTAGTTTTGAGTGGGCCTAGAACAAGAGAAGGCTCTGCCACAAGTCCAGGCTGCCATGAACGCTGCTCTGCCACTCGGGCCATAAGATCCGGCTGTTCCAATGGTGCTTGAAGCATCAGTGGTGATAGAGATGCTGATGGAGGCTTTGTCAGGCTTCTAAGGTGAATCACATCACAGACTCTTAAGATTTTGGAGCAAAGCCCTGCCATCCTCTGTGGATAACTAATCTCATTTTGAGAAATGGCTTTTGATTTAATACTAAGCCTTAGTAGAGACTGAACTCTTATCCATGGGCCCGCATGTTACCATACAACCTGAGCTGCCTGTCATGAACTGGGTGTTGTCTAACCCACAAGCCATAAAGGCGAGCGAGCACAGCAGTGCTCCATCATCAAATGAAAGTAATATATATGAGATTGGGCCTGTGCAGGCCCTGAAGGCACAAGTAAGCTGCATGAGGAAGTGACCCACATGCCCATGGTCCCCACTCCTGCTATATTACCTTCTCTCTCCCAGCCTGCACTTATGGCCTCCTACGGAGTTCCCTATGATAAATTGACTGAGAAAGAGAAAACTCAGGCCTAGTTTACAGTGATCTTGCACGATATTCAGGCACCATCCAAAAGTAGACAACCACGGCACTACAGCTCCTTTCTGGGTCATTCCTGAAAGACAGTGGTGAAGGAAAATCCTCCCAGTGGTCAGAACTTTGAGCAGTGAACCTTGTTTTCCAGTTTGCTTGAAAGGAGAAATGGCCAGAGGTACAAGAATATGACAGTTATTGGACTGTGGCCAATGCTTTGGCTGGATGGTCAAGAATGTGAAAGAAACATGATTGGAAAATTGGTGACAAGAACATCTGAAGAAGTATGAGGATAGACCTCTCTGAATAGGCAAAAAATTTGAAGATATTTGTGTTCCATGTGATTGTTTACCAAAGGGTGATCTCAGCAGAGGAGGATCTTAATCATCAAATGGATAGGATGACTCATTCTGTGGATGCCAGTCAAGCTGTTTCCCCAGCCACTCCTGCCATTGGTCAATGGGCTCATGAACAAATGGCCATGGTGGCAGGGATGGAAGTTATGCGTGGGCTTAGCAACATAGACTTCAACTCACCAAGACCAATCTGACTATGGCCACTACTGAGTATCCAGTCTGCCAACAGCAGAGACCAAAAATATGGCACCATTCCCCAGGGTGATCAGCCAGTTTGTCACTTGGTGGTAGGTTGATTACACTGAACCAGTTCCATCATGGAGGGGGTAGCATTTTGTTCCAACTGGAATTGAGACAATGAATATAAATTTCCCTTCACTGCACACAATGCTCTGCCAAAACTACTATCTGTGGACTTAGAAAATGCCTTATCCACACAGCATTCCTTCTGATCACGGAACTCACTTCACGGTGAATGAAATATGGCAAGGGACCCGTGTTCACAAGATTCACTAGTCTTACCATGTTCCCTATCATCCTGAAGCAGCTGGCTTGACAGAACAATAGAACAGTCTTTTGAGGACTCAGTTACAGCGCCAGCTAGGTGACAATACCTTGCGGGGCTGGGGCAAGGTTCTCCGGGTGGCCCTCTGTATATGCTCCAAATCAGTGTCGATTATAAGATGCTGTTTCTCGCATAGCCAGGATTCATGGGTCCAGGAATCAAGGGATGGAAACGGGAGTGGCACCACTCACTATTAGCCCTAGTGATCTACTAGCAAAAGCTCTGGTTTGTCTTCTCAACTTTATGCTCTGATGGCCTACAGGGTTAGTCCAAAGGCAAGGATGCTTCCATCAAGTGACATGACAAGAATTCCATTTAACTGGAAGTTAAGACTGACGCTTGGCAAATTTGACCTCCTCATGTCTCTGAATCTACAGGTAAAGAAGGGAGTTGTATTGTTGGCTTGGGTGATCGATCCTTACTACCAATTGGAAATTGGACTGCCATTCGATGATAGAGGTAAGGAAGAGCATCTCTGGTATATAGGAGATCCTTCAGGGCATCTCTTAGTATTTTCATGCCCTGTGATTAAGGTCAATGGAAAACTATAACAACCCCACTCAGGCAGGGCTACTAATGGCCCAGACTTTCCAAGAATGAAAGTTTGGATCACCCTACCAGGCAAAGAACCATGCTTGCTGGAATGATTCTGAGTGCAAAGAGAATGGGTCACTGAAGAAGGTAGTTACAAATACCAAGTGTGACCATGTGACCAACTACAGAACTGAGGACTAGAATTGTCAAGAGAATTTCTTCCCTATTTTGTTATGACTGTTTATAGGTGGATAAAGAAGGGGAGAAAACAAAGATATTTGACATATTTCTTTATATTTTATCTTTGTTTTCTTCCCTTCCTTATCCACTCATCATATAACACAAGATGT